GCGGGGAACTCTGCAAAAAACGCATCTTCGCACGGGCAGCCCGTGCGTTGGCCAATTTTTTTTGCTGCAGTGGACTCAAGTCGATTCTGCTCCTCGCTTGCGCTCCAATCCTGCTCTTTGCTAAGGGCATGCAGATTTTCAATAAATTGATGAAGTAAGCCCAATCGTCGCATAACCGCTGAAAATAGCGCAAAACACAGTAGCAGATTGATGTTTGTGTTACCCAGTAATGAAACACATAGTAATCCCCTTGTTACAGGAAGTGTTAAGCTGACACGGTGCGCGATCGGTAATCTTTGACAATCCGGTTCTGGAACCCAGGAGGTGAGAGAGGCTGGGGCGGGGAGGAGCAGCGATGGCGCATTAACTGCGTTTGTTGTGCTTGTTAAGCGTCTGATTAAGGAATTAATTAAAATGCTGCGAGCAGCGCTTGTTCGGAAGCAGTGTTTACGAATGGAATCAAACAAATACGCGTTACATTCCATGCTGTTGCTGTCGTCATTACTTCATCATTTGCGCCGGTGTTTAGTACTCTTTCCAGTAGATGAAAAGCGGGAAACGAGCTTACTGAGCCCGCATATAACCGAACATAGCTCTGCGCAGGAGACTGGGGACGCATCAAAATTTGACACGTACTACCTCATTAGTGGTACATTTACTTTTTGTAAAATTTCTTTTTTTATTTCGGGACCTCGCTCGCTTAGCAGAAAAATCAACCAGTGGTTCTTTTAAAGACCCCCAACCAGCATTTTGCAAAGTGATGCAAAATGCTGGTTGGGGTCTTTAAAAGAAGCGCTTCTATATTTTCACGCGGGTGATGCGAGTACTATAAATTGTGTCATTCCAGCTCCTCTTGATACTGAGTTGAATTAATACTCAGTCACCCACACGGCAACTACCATGCCTTGGCGCAGTAATCACCGAGTATTGAAGCAGCAAGAGGAGACAAGAATCCTTATTATCGGAAACTGCGAGACAGACTGCCCGTCCTCATAAATTTAATAGAATCTGAGCAGTTCAACTAATTGTCTCCCATAATGTTTTTATTATTATTAGAATAGATTTTGTTCGCAGAAACTAAATCAACATACGCTCAGGGTTTTTTAGAAATCCTTAAAACCACCTATTCTATCCTATATTCTGGCTGCATCACTAGTTCAGCACATATTCATTTCCAGGAAGAGGTTCTGTCTCTGAGCACATTAATTTCAGACAGACACCCGGTAATGCGAAAAATTAGGCAGGCAGACACCAAGTAATTAAAAATGGCGTTCAAATGAGCACAAAAACGTAATATTCCACTGAAAAATCGAGAATGCTTGCAGAGCAAATTTTGGTGCTAAAGTTCGAAATATACCATATATGTGCAAATAGCGAACAAGAACAAGAGAATCACTGCATTAGTCAGAGCCGATGTGATCGGAAAGGACATTTGCATATAGGGGCAGAAATGCGATGTGAGTCCAAAAACTAGGTACATCGCTATCTTTCAACATCAACCTGCCTCAGTGCACGACTACCTGCTAAGCGTTCGCTGATATTTCAGAATTCCAGGATAGAAATTGTACATTTTTTACTTTACCAAGGATGCCAAGATTTCAAAATCTATGATCTGAATCGTAAAATCCGATTCAAGACAGCTCTTTTCTAATTCACTTCCAATTTTGGTTGTAACATCGATTCTCGTTAAAATTCAAGATGCGGCAGTTCTGAGTCCAAAGAAGCATGAAAGGGGTGTATAGTGGTGCATCAAGTACAAATCATTATCTTTTTTCATCACTTGGACCATAAAATACACTTCAGTAGTTTTCATACGGCCAAATTTTTTCGAAGAGCCATTTTTACAGGTTTTATAAACCTAAAGAATTACCCAGTTTTGTAAGACAAAGAATGAAAAACTCGGTAAACAAGCCGAACAGGAAGCAGTATTTTTCTGAAAGGTAAGATGAGCTACTGCTTATGCATGAGCTTTGCGCAGATAGCAAAGGCGATCTCTTTACAGAATGAAATCATGCACAAAATGTACGACTGTACTGGCAATACTAGTGCGTCACTATCTGAGTCTGTCCCCACCAGTACCACTTATTGCCAATAGCTACGGCTACGAAGAGCTCCATCACGCTACTACTACTAGCACCATTTTTACCGCTTCATCATCACTGGCATTGTCAAATGCCATCACCAACAATACAGCCTCACTTTCACTCAAAGTGCGCTTTCAACAATACTACTACTACTACCGCAGTCGCTTTACCGCTCGTAATTATCATTTTCATCATCAGCTTTGTCGTCGACATTGCCGTCACTGCAACAATGCGCACCATCGGGGCCAACATTATTGTAATATGTATTGTCGCGACCGTCATCTTGGTCACCGGCGTGATGCCACTACTTCCGCTAGCACCAGTAACGAGAGCAGTACAGCAGCTGACGAGGCGTGGGCAGTTGAAATGTTTATTTTTAGCAGCGTGGACCAGTTTCGGAGTGACGGTAGGAGTGCGGCAGAACGGCGCTGTAGGGCGGCTGGCATTAGTACAATTACTCCGCCCAGCTGCTAATTCCTTGCTTCGTTTTGTCAATCGATTCCATCGCAGAGACCCTGGATCGAGCAGCTCCAGCATTCTGATAAGCAGATAGCACTATCAGCACACTGACGACGATTCTGCCCAGCCCGACCCCCCACGCGCGATTTTGCCACTTCTGTTTGCATCTCGTTAGTGTTTGTTGTTGGCAAATTCACTTGCTGATTAATGAGATTCACTGGTCCGCAGACTGACCCGGATCACTTTTCACACTAAGATAAGTCGTACTTTTGAAGTCAGATCTCTCGCTCAAGAAACCAGTATGCTTTCTTACATTTTTGCGGTGATTACATTCTGGCGAGATCATGAACATGTGTCCAGATATACGTGTCTATGTATGCATGCATGCTGCTCGCATGTAGATATGCATATGTGCATGTACGTAGCAATATGTCTGTGGATGTATGCATGTATGTGTGTGTGTGTGTGTGTGTGTCTGGACACTTGAGCAGTTCAGGAGCTACAAATGGCTAAGATGCTGAAGTTTCTAAAACATAATCCGCGACCAGTTTTGAGCCTGAAAAACCTGAAGTTAATTGACACTTCCACTATGCCTCTGCTAACGGCTCAAGTCAAGTTCCTGTCAAATTGTGAGATAATGAAAAAAGCTGCAGTGGATTTTGCCGTTTAACTTTGCTAATAATCCAAAGGTAAATGAAATCAGCTTTTCCAAGCTATATTCTAAAGTATGGTCTCAAGTCAGGCTAATTTTTGCGATGTGCGGGTGAGGCAGAGCTTAATTCTCTAGTTTCGAGTGTTTTTGCTGAATTGTATCAGTTTTCTCACAATCAATTGACGAAGCAAACTACACTGAACAAAGCCAATAAACGATAAAATTCAGTTAAGCTAATAAACCATGAAATCCAACTCGCACATTTTCCAGTACCGCGCGGTAGTTTTCTTAACATTATGAATTCTTGTGAATGGCGGTGCCTATTTAGAGAATCCGGCGCAATTATACGTTTTCGTTACAAATTTTTGCATGTGTTGGTCATTCAGTTGATCTAATGCATAAAGAGCGTCAAATTTTCTGATTCACAGCTTCCTGCATTCATCAACTTGTATACGGAAGGTCTGAAGGAGTTAGATTATTCGCAAGATTTTAGAAACGTTTGTCAAAAAATAGTGAGGTTTGAATACTATTTCCGGATAGTATATTTATCCTTATTGACGTAATTAAAAAAAAATCTTGATTTTTTACATTTTTCGATTGGCTTAAAAAATACTTCCGATGCGTTAGAATGTAATGATTTCTCGAAACTTTTTACGAACTTGCCCTGAATCGCTTAATGAAATTAAAAAACCATCTCTTTATTCGTTCTCTACTTGTCAGGCGCAGACGCTTAAGAAATAGCTTGAGAGGTAGCAAATGCCAACAGCAACAATCCATTGGCAAGTCTCTCGATTGCTTACTCTTTGTCGGAGTTAGAAGCAAGCTGATATTGAATTTGACTTTCTGGCATACGCCTATACCAATTTACCATCGAAGTGAATGGATGAATCGTAGAGGGATTTGTTGCTACCGTCAGGCTCGGACGTTTTTTATGCGACAACAGTGGTACTTCCCACTGCGCCATGCTCACCAGCGCTTCACAATGTATCTTGAAATTTCCACTGTCTATATTTCTTGGTTCTAGAATCACGGCACTGCTTTAAATTCTGCGAATGAGGCAGTGTGTCATGACAAAGCTAGGCTTATGCCTAATTTCAGGTATATAAGGCCGCGCATAGTGCTTTAAAATTTTGTCCTTTTGGCCTTCGCATACGCTGAAATTACTCTTTTGCAAAGAAGGGAAGTAAAGTGCGCCAACGGATATTAAATTTGGGCAACAAACTGAGATAAGCATGGTGGGTAAAAGAGGTCTCTCTTTATTGAATAAGCGTTACCGTCTGATTCCCTCGCCATCCGCTTCTCTCACATCTGATGCCGGACCTTGGATGCGCGCCCAACTGTGGCTTTTTTTCTTCCTACTTCACAGTTTCTGTGGAATGTTTGGGTGTGCTTGTCTTGCACTTTGCTTATTTATTGCCAAAAATGTTAAAGGAAGCGAAAAAACTGAAGCGCCCCGATGTTTTGCACATTCCAGCGACAGAAATTTTAAATCGACAATCTCTTCTAAGTCGCTATTTTTGTCAGTTATAATTGTCTTTACACTTCTTAAGTGCCTTTATTTTTTGTTCTTTCCTACCATAATTACATTATCATCATCTTCACCCATTATGATTAAATTATTATCACTTTTATTGCGTTAGATGAACGGGTAAGAAAAGCTACGGGGTTAGACAAAATTTTGCGCTGAAATTTTCGAGCAGGAAGTGAAAACGTAGAGAAAGCACTGTGCGGTCAGTTTATCTGTTATTTTAAGCTAGGGAAAATATCAACAGAACAGAAGAGATACAGAACATTGCTGACACCGAAGAAGACTACAAAAACATTTGCAACTACAGTATAGTATGCCTACAATCACATGTGTGCAAAATTTAGGCGCATAATATACAAGCCGAATCGAAGTAATTCTCGATGAAAACTCAAGAAATGAAAAAAAAAATGTTTTAGAAAGAGTTTTTCCATTACCGAAGACATTTTTACGGCAACGGTTGGCAGAGAGATGCAAGAAATATAAAATTTTTTTACGTTTGCTCTTCATGAATTCAGGACTGCGGCTTTCTCAGACCTAGAAATCGATCAGGTGAAGATTTAAATCAGTAAACATTGTGATCACTATATTCGACGAGCCCATAAGAATTGGAATTAAGCAAGGACAATATTTTTCGAAATATTCTAACAGCGCATTCCAAAAATCTTTACGGGGAACTGAAACAGCAGAAAAGTTTCGTGTCTCCGGTGTGAGGTTTAAAATAATTGTCATTGCTGCTGCATTGTGTTTCTCACGAAGTTCTGTCCTAAATTTGTTAGTTTTCAGGATTTTGCCCCTCCAGAGGCCTTGGTAAATATTGTAGACCCTTTATTTTCGGTAATTTAATTTTGGATTTTTATAGCACATTTCTGAAATCTTCCGTCTTTATAGCTTCTAATCTTCAGCAACGTTGTCGTCGGATTTCACTAAACAGTCTTTATTTTCCATGTGAGAAGTAACTGGCTGTTCCAAAACGGAGCTTAATGAAAATTCTCTCTTTGATGTGTAATGAATTTGGAGAGTTTTTGATGAACTTTCAGAATTTCCTATCTCGAACAAAGCCAGGACTTATTATGTTAGCGTAATGGATGAAGAGGGAGCAATTTCTTGTTGGAGACAATTGCTGAAGGCACGAAACATAAGCGGTTCAGTGTCCTTTCCTCCACTTTAACTGCAGGCCCTACATATTACATTAGGCTTGGGCTATTTCTGATAGCAAAGCAGTTTCACGATTTTAGTCTTGTTGAGGGAAGATTGTATTAGGGGCTGGTCTTCTTCTTGACGGGCGATTAAAAGAGGAGCGGCGAGGAACAGAGGTGCGGGAGCAGGAGAAACAGAGAAGCTTAGAAAAGTGGGATTGAACAGATCCGAATTAAATCGTTTAAAAGTGAAATTTAGGCCAAATGGGTGGACTGAGTTTGGGATAAACTATACTAGGAGCTATTTACATGGCCCAGTAAATTATGGCCTGCAGGCCACTGGCTTGCATCGAGTGCAAATCGATCTAAATTGGACTTGAACAAACTCCTGTGGCTCGGCGTAGCATTGAATTCGACGTGGAAGTGATACATGGGCTTGCTCCTAGCATCAATGCATTCCGAATTTTCTTGAGCCTAAAAAAGGCGCGAGTCAAAATTGCACCTCACTTCAGCAAATGTCAAATTTTTTGCTCTTCCGGAGGTAGAAAATTGTTCTTCGTTTTTGAAATGCGCTTGTTGGTCTCAAGCGAGTGGAGGCTCTAGCTACTCGCACACTTCCTCCTGCAGCTCGTTGCTCCTCCTTTGTGCGTGATGAACTTGGACCATCGGCCTCTCCAGAGTGTTTTTATCCCTTTTTTGGATGCGCTTGATGGCATAAATCATCAACAATAAATGTTTTAAAAATACCACAAGAGTGATGAAGGAGAGAGGGAAGAGGGGCGGGGAAAAGTCTAAGAGAGGGAGTTTGCAATGAGTATCCTGCGTTTACTGGACCAGGTTGTCGTCTTGAGCAGAAGCAGCTCGCCATTGCACTTCGTAATACAAACATTTGCTTCTTTGCTGACGGCTCGCTTTGGCAGTAAGAAAATATTTTGTTCTGAACTACTGCCCTCAGGGAATTATTTTGGAACACACAGCAAATTGCCATTTTTGGATTTGGACAAATGAGCACGTTTTTGTGTTTTCATCACCAGTTTCGCTCTCAAATTGCTTGTCGACATCTGCTTGCTGCTCTCCACTGCTATCTCCTTCCTCTGTCTGGGACTTTAATTTTACAATGTACCACTGTTTTCTGAGTAATAATTTTTTCATGTTCTTTCTTATAGTATATAGGCATGTCTAGCCAAGCCATCGAAAGCGGCCACAAGCGAGCTTTTGCTTCTCAAAGTTCCCACACTAAACTGGAACAAATCTTTCAGACTTAAAACTTGTAACTTGTTGTTTCAGTTCTGAACACGAACATTTGACTGTCTTGAATTTATAACACAGATTGATTTGAACATTTTTAACAGAAAATCACTCAGCGCGACGACCTCCAACTATAATCCCGAGTAGCTTTTGCTGTAATTCTGCCTATAACTAGATTTTTATGCGTTTTTGCACTAAACTCGCAGGTCGCTGACGGCACGATGATCACTGCGCTGTAGCCTAACAATTAGGCTCATATTGGCCGAGTTTTGGCTCTTTCCAGCATGCAGGAAAAAGAACGTCGATTGGGATGAAGGTGGCGCGTTGTAGAGCCGCATAGGCCTCCAAGTACATGATTAACAGTTTTTTGCATGAAATCCGGTCGTTTCAGTAAATGCTCGTCTTAACCTAGGCTGGAACGCACCAGGCGAGCCGGAGCGATCATGCGTTTTTGCACAAAACTTGAAT